TCAAATAATAGTCATTCGATTTCACAATAACAGCCTTGGTGAAATGAATATATTTATACTTATCTATATTGAAAAACAATCTATGTTTGTTTTACCATGCATGAAAGTGTCCAAGTCTTTTTGGATTTTAACTCCTTATCCTTATTTTATTCAATGCGGACCATCTGGAGTGGTTCACGACTTTCAAAGAATGTATTTCATGGCGGTCAGTTGATGGTGGAACAGAAACTGTAGCAGGAGATTTTCTCGTTCCTTTCCCCAACTCCATGGCATCCCAGAAGTATTTCCGTTCCATTTTGTTTCTTACCAAGTTTGGCATTGAAGTCTCCGAATAACATGGTAAAGTACGTTGGAGGACTTGAGATTGCTTGAGTAAGGCATTCGTAGAAGTCTTAAATATCTTTGTCCGAACTTTGGGACGTGGGTGCATAGGCTTGGATAATCTTGATATTGTATTTCATTTAATTTCAATATTACATAGCAAACTCTGGGGCTTGACCTGCTGATCTCAAGTATATTGTGTACATGTCGCCTATTTATCAGAAGTCCGACTCCTACAGAGCTGTTTTCTTCACACTTGTAATTTAACATATCTCCTAACTTCAGTAGGATTTGTTTTTCTTCTCTTTTCCGGATTTCGCTTATTCTGATTACATTCCAGTGTATTTATCCAAGTTCTTCAACATTTTCTCGTCAAATGGAATGGTTCTCATAATATATGTCGCAATAGACGCAATATGCAGAGTGCACCGGATGGTTGGGTACCAGCCACCATTTGTGCAGATTAGGTTGACATTTGGACTGGCCTTATCCTTTTACTTTCGTCCTTTGCACATACAGCACAACCTTGCTTGGATAAGAGATCAATAAGAGTGGACGATAATTGTCTGGGTTTACCGGAAATCCCTTATTATAAAGTGGAACGAAGATTGAAGTGCCCCATTCGTCTGGCCAGACGACAAATACGATGTAAATGAAGACGTCATCAGAAAGGGCACAATGCCTGTCGCTTTATCAGCTTTAAGTTTCCTAACGGCATCTTCCACTTCCGAAAAAAGAATATCCAGGCGTTCTAAACTGACCAAGTTTTGAGTTTAAAGTCCCGATAGAGACATTTTATTTTCAGGAACATCTCTCCTGGACGGCCTGTATTTCCCTTCATAATTCCTGAAGAGAAGAGTTCTCATCTTGACGGCAGAGTCTTTGGATTTCAAGTGTTGATTGTCTATACCGATCGTGCTTTGCATCATAATTCAGACCTGACATCTTAAGCTCTGTACGTGCCACAATGATAGACAGTGTAGATATGGGGAGGTAATCCATGGCTGTTCAAGTTGAGTGCTGCGTTTTAGTTGAGTTGTTTGACCAGCTTGCGTAATAACATTTTCAAATGTTAACCCCATATTATTAGAAGGAGATTCATCCGTTATCGAGGAACTCCGGAAAAGCTGAGAACATTTTGACCGAAAAGAAGCAGGGTCGACAGTTGGAAGATTCCGCTTAGAACGTGAACATATCTTCAGCTCGAGTTGAAGTTTTCAAAGATGGAATTGATGGTCTATCAGCCACAATCGGAACTTGGTAGAGTTTTACAAAGACTAACAGATGATCTCCATGGTGTTCCAACTAAAATGTGATCGATTTGATTGCGATATTGTCCGCCTGGTGAAACCCAGGTCGTCGTAGATGTTGTGCAAAGAGGGTATTAGCAATAGAGAAGCTGTGGTCAATACATTATTGGAGCAGACGTTGGCCCCTTTCGTTTTTGACACAGAGACCAAATTTACCAATATATGCTCTAAGATGTTCATCTTTTACTCTAGGTACTGTTTGACCAATTTTAGCATTAAAATCTCCAAGGACAAGGACCATCTGGCGATATGATAGAAATTCAAGCGTCGACTAAAGGTCATTATAAAATGATTCCACAGTGTCGCCATCTGAGTTGGAAGTAGTCGCCTAGACCTGCACTATATTGATCGGTGAAGGAGCGCATTGATTCTTAGGGTGATTATCCTGTTACTGACACAGTTGTAGTCGAGAATAGTCCTTACGTGAGCTCTCACCAGCCAAAAGCCAACACCCTTGATGCTAGTAGAGTGTTTTCACAGCTATCAGACCAATACCCTATACTACGTAAAAACCCCCCCTCCAGCACAGCCATCATACCAGTACCCACTTCCACTGTAATTTTCAAAAAGCTCCTACCCTAAAATCCCCCACTTTGAGCCCCACCAAAGAAATCATTTTACTGCTATATATCTCACACTCTAAAAATCCCTAGTCTGGTGGACCATCAATGGTGAGTTCTCCAGTCTGGTCTGTTGTGATGAAGAAGGACAACCTAATTTGAAGAAGGAAGGTATTTTTGTAACTTACTGGTAATTTACCTCATGCATCCAAAAGTTCAAAGAACTTTGCATGTTTCAATAAATAATACAACGGAATTCTCAATAGTTCTTTGCTTGTAAAATCTGAGAGTAACTTTTCACCATTCATATGAGCTAGAACATTGTCAATAGAGTAACCGAAATTCATTTTTGAGTTTTGTTAGTGTTGGTGGTTGTCAATAACTCTACTCAACTACTATTTTTGCAATATAATTTTGATAGGGTCCTTTAACAACTACGGTTTGCTTTTAATTTATGGAAAGAGGTGCCTCTTCAGAGTAAAAACTTTTTGACGTAGTAGAGGTAGGTATTGCTCTGATAGCTGGGAAAACGTAATGGGGGCACTTGAGCCTGTTATAGTTTTTCGATACCGTGGGAAAATCTCTAGATCGGAAGCGCCTTTGATTTGAAATTTTGGGGATTTGATTCGACCAAGGCCAACCCCAAAATTGACGAATATAAATGGAAGAATTGGTTAAATATTCTTTAGTTTTCAAGAAAGTGGAGAAATATAAAAAAGTGCCTCCTCAGGGTAGGAGCTTCACGGAACGGGGTTTACAGTGGAGGTGGGTACTGGTATGATGGCTGTGCTGGAGGTGGGGTTTTTACGTAGTAGAGGTGGGTATTGGTCTGATAGCTGTGAAAACACTCTACTGATGCTTTCGTTGGAATTGACCGAAAAGCAAACAAAATTGTCACTGCTGGAAGTTCCTATATTGAGTCTCAGACAGGCCAGCGATTGCAATACTTCCTGTAAGCTCTTTATCAAGAACCGGTTTCTTGAAGGCCTGTGATGGTCCATGTTGCCAGACGATGTTGGCGGCGAGTGAAAGAGTCATCAGTAGTAAGTTTCGCACAAAAAGCCTGATGATCGCACCTCATGTGCATCGTCACCAATTTCACACTGACCCTTAGTCGGAGATCGGAGCCTGTGCTACCTGTGCTCATTTCACGAATTTCTCTTGGGATATGCGAACAGATCTGTCTGTATCCCCATGCCGTTGATCAGATATCAGCTCATATGCCTTAAAGGACAATTTCTTTTCCCTAGGATAAGAGAGTGCCCTGACTTATGTTAACTTCTCCACCAGAAGCTGTTGATTGGCAAGAGAAAACTGCTTATACCGACAGGATTTTGGTTCCTTTTAGTCGCCAAGGCGCCAGGATATACTTTGGGATATATTCCAAACAGCTTCCACATGGAGTTAATCCAGTCATTTTCCCCAGATGTGATTAGAATTTTTCCTTTGGAAAAACTAATATTTTGAAATGTCCTTGAAAAAAAAAAAACGTTTCACTAAGTTACTAGAAAAGCTAGGACAGTTCGATCAAAATTTCGGACATTTCATGACCATAAGGAAATCGCAGGTGGATCCTGGTCATTTTCGTAGCTACCTAAAAAGGCTAGAGGTAAAATCTGCACTTGATCAGATGCAAGAATATCAACAAGGTATTTGACTAAATGGATAAGCTCCGCGCCTTGCCACATTTACATATAAAAATAACAAAAATTGCAGTCGTCGAACTGGCTCAGCTTATTTACTTAAAATCAATGTTTGAACGTAGCTAAAAAATTATACAAACTCTATTTCAGTTTTTACTTTTTCCTTATTCTGTTAAGAGCAAAAACCTTAAGTTGTATGAATATAAATTCAACATCATGTAAAAAAATCAATTGCATAATACAAGCATGAACACCCATCGACTTGCATCTGTCTTGACAGCATTACGCTATTAACAACGATTTTGCTCTCATAACTACTCCGCAGGGTAGCCAGACGATTACGAGAATAATGTATAGCAAAGCACACTTGACGACTATATTTTCTTTACACTTAAATTGTAAATGACTATCCGCCTCGATTATTGAAAATTAATAAAATTGATTTTGTTTGGGACTTTAGTTGAGGGAGGACAACTTTTCGCGAATGTTAAAATAATCTGCATATTTGCCCACTCCTTCTTCCGGGAAAATATTCTGAAAATTATGTCGGTTATGAAATATGGCTTCATCCCCCAACCGTAAACGAACAAAGTTTCTGTAGTATGCTTTTATTTTGTTTAGAGACCACATGCACATTTCTCATTTTTTTCTCGTAGTGGGTATGTAATATAATTTTCGCCAGCAATTCGGATGTAATATTGGTAAATGTTTTACATGTTGAATATTTTCTCAACCGTTGTTTGTCTGATTTTACCTAATCAAAATATTCAGCTAAATATTTTCAGTAGAAACTGAATAGGTTATCTTGCAGTGGGTTTCCTTGCTAATGATACTTGAAGCTTCAACCCAAATTCTCAGTAAAACTAAGCCAGGAAAATTGAAACTTTCCAAGATATCAAAAATATTGTCAAAGTTCATTTTTTTCCCTGGCGCTGTAAACATAATAAGGAAAATTAACGTTCTATTACAACAGCAAAACAGTTAATAAAACATACTTAAAACCACTCAAATTTTTTTCTCAAAAATCACATGTAATCAGAATCATCGTTATTACATTAACACACGTCAAATGCAATTTTGTTTTTTCTTGAAATGTCTTTACCACTAATGTTTAATAATTCCAAACCATAACCATTTAAAGATCACTTCCTAATTGTTATTTTCAGGTTATAATGTTCAACGGACCATGGCCGATTGTCTTCAAAGGCAAATCGTCGGACATTTTCTTGTACGCGATGACGTTGGCCGTTTGCTTGGAGCTACTGGTCCTGGTGGACGCGGCGGTCGACGGCGACGTGTCGTCTTCAGCTTCGTCGTCTCGCAAATCCTTTGACGAAAATCCTCAGGTAAGCCCGCTCAGGCTCAAGCTTAAAGTCTTATGTTGGGTTAGCTTGGATTTGAAACTTTTGACAAATCCTCCTTCCTTCGAGATTGTTGAAGGAGAAAATTATTATTTTATATTAATTTGAAAAGAAAAATCTTGCGGTAGTTCAATGATGAAAACATGAAATTTTCTACAAAGTCTTACAGCTTATAATTGAACAAATGTTAAATAATAATATGTTAATAGATTCTGAATTTTGACTTACAATGAAGTACCTTCCAGTTTTTCAATTTGCACGCTTTTTCTCTTTAACAATGAAATCCAAAAGCTCACTCGTAAAATGCGTCATGAAATTTTTTGAAGTACCTACTTACATAGATACTTTGAGTTGACCTATCAATAATTAATTGGTTTTATATTGGAAAAATAATTATCAAACGGGCAAAGAATTTCACACCTTCCTGGAAACTGTTATAGTGTTATTTGAATTCCTATTATTGCAGATAGTCGATTACGAATATTCGAAAAGAGGATGGAGGACTGATTTGCCAATGTGGGGCAAAAGAGGATGGAACAATCTGCATTCGGGTTGGGGAAAACGCGATTCCAGCGATTCCGGAGAAGACGAAGAATTACTGAATAATTATATCACTCACGGTTTGGATAAACGGGCATGGCAACGACTACAGGTAAATGTTACTTGATTTACAAAACTCAGTATGCTTTACTAATAGATTTTTATGGTTAGTTAATAAGACAAAATACGAAATATTATTTCTTATCTTACACTGATGTTGCTGACATGTTAGGAAAATCAAAATCGACATGGCGAGGTCTGTGGTGAAAAAGTCTTGGTTAAGTGTGAAGGGAGAGTTTAGAGAGTTTAGTTTAGATAAATAACATTCCACCAAATGGAAATCATGAAAGGGACTTTCTGATCCCCCTGTATATTTGTGAGCATTCTTTTCACAATAAATTGATCGGTAAGAGGTAAAACTGTGAGCAATATTTAACTTGAAGTAAACATTCACACACACGACTTGAAGTTGGAAAACGACACATTTTCATATCCAATTCGTATGTCGACGTGGAGAAAATTAAAGTCAATATTCACCTTTTCTTCGAAACTCTGTATTTTCAATAATATTGAAAATATCAGAATAAATAACAAATGAAAATGTTCGGAAAATATCAGGCTACAATTTGGTGTTGAAAACTGTTCTGAATTTCACACCGGGTGTCTCAAAAAACTCTGAAAATTAATGACTTTCTTTCCATCCCTGTATATGATATAGAGACGAATCATTTAATAACGGTAATACGTCAGATGTATTCCTAAAGAATCAAGCTACAATCTGTGAAAAATCGGTATTTCAATCAATTAAGTCCAACCAAGCTGATATTAGTCAAAAGCTGGATTTATCAAATTTACATTTTGAATATTCCTAGGCAAGATTTCATAATTCAGATCATCTAAGAGTCAAAATTTGAATTAAGATTTCAATTTTTTTATTTGCCAGTTCTTGATTGGACTAGTTCCATATCTATTTAAGAAAGATAAAAGTTGGATTGTGATTTATGAAATCCATATTTCGAATTTTCCTGGTTTTGGATTGGATTGATTCTATGTCAAAACAAGAATTTATCATCAATCAAATCAAATCTAAGAGCCGGGACTAAATAGCCCAGAAGCTGAATTCTGATTTTTGAAATTTAAATTTTGAATGTTCTTGACTCTTGATTGGGTTATTTTTATATATAAAAATGGATTGAATTAAACAAATCACACCAAATTCACTGGAACCCGATCAAGAACTGCGCATAAAGGAAAAGTTGAATTTTGAAAATTCAATTTTTGATTATTCTTGGCTCTTGAATTAGATTAATTTCAAATCTGAGAAATGATGCAATTAATCAAGTCACACCGATGGGCTTTAACTCAATCAAGAGGCGGAGAATGATTCAAAGTTTAATTTTCATTTTAAAAATTTTGAATTCGCCTGGTTCTTTGATTGGACTAGTTACATAATATCTATCTCTGAAAGATAATGTGATCTATAAAATCCACGATAAATTTTTTCTATTTTTCTGCATTTTATTTCAAAAATCACAATACAAAAAGAAACTGCATTCTCCAAGATTTAGTCTAAATTCGGCGTGTGAAAGTGCTCGTAGGACTGGACTAACTCAAGTTTCTCGAGTTCTTCAGCCACCGTTTTGCTGGAAATTAATTAGCACATCATTCAAATAAAAATGAAAGCTATACTGTCCTTCAATTTCCCAAGAGCCTTATCGATTGGTTTTTGGTAGCATGAAGGCGAGTTTACGAATCCAAATGGCATCCTCGTGTATTCATAATGTCCATCTGAACTTATGAACGCAAGAAGATGTCTTGACTTCTTTTCCACCAGAACTTGATGAAACCCTGCCTTCATATCCAGTGTACTATAATATTTAGCAATGCTAAATGCATCAATTTGGTACTGAATTCTTGGCAGAGGATGAGGATTTTTCAAAACTCTTCTATTAATGTCTCGATAATCGACGCAAAGGCGAAGATCCCCGTTTTTCTTCTCAACTAGGACAATTGGGCTTGCTTATTCGGATGTACCTTCCTGAATTATGCTCTCTTCAACTATTTTTTTAAGTTGCATCCTTTCAGCATAGGCTAGAGGTCGTGGCCGGTAAGCCATTCTTCAAGGAGATCGTCAAGTGTCCTGTTACTACTGCTGGTGAAGATTCTCCAATAGCTTGCTTTAACATCTTCTCTAGTTTTCTTTTCACTATCTCGTCTATTCCAGACGTCTGTTATTGATTATCGTTGATTTGTTGCACATATCGTATTTTCATCGTCAGCATCATGTTGCAAGTCCAATTCATTACTTGTCTTGATTAGCTTGTCGCCTGATAATGTCCCTTCCAACTAGGGTCCAAATCAGGGATGGTGTCTTCAGCAACTATCAGGAACTCCACCTCTAATGTAACATGCGGCAAAACAACAATGATCACACAAGATTACTTGAGTAAATCCTTCACCAAGTCCTGTCAACCTTCTTTCACTAGAAGTGATGGTAGCACCCAGCTGTTTTGCAACATGTTCATGTGATAATGAGATCTCAGCTTCCGTATCCAGTGGATAAGTAAACTTCTTATTATTCTCACTAATTGCTGTGGCTATTGGTATCTTATCCAGGTATCGCCCCCCTTTGACAAGCAATATCTTTCGAGAATTCTTCTTCTCGGATCAGCCATTTTCTCATTCGAAAATCCAATTTTGAAATAATACTTTCCCTCCGTGTGTCCTATCTTTTTGCAGTGCGTACACACATTGGTGATGGTGTCCCTATTTCCTTTGAACACAGAGAAGGATGTATCTGCTGTTTTTTGTTTGTTCATGCATTCAAACGATTTATGCCCAGGCTTGTTACAGTGATAGCAGGTTGCAGTGAATTTCGTAGTTTTTGTTTCAGTACGTTCCTTAGGGTACGGCTTGTTCCTGTTTCTTCGATGAGTCCGTTCAGCTTGAAAGTTCCTATTAAGCTGACTTCTTGAAGTATGTTGCTCGATGCGTTGTCTCTGTTTTTCATTGTCCCTTTCGCTTATGAGCACAATCAATTGACTCTCATTTGGTGGTTCTGTTAATCGCAGTGCAGTCTTGGCTTCGGTGTCATGCAAACATCCTTCAATAATGCTAAGGTTAACTGCTCACGGATATTCAAGTTCATGGATATTCTGGATCTGACGTAACTTTGAGTTAAAAAAAGCAGAAAGCGTATCAAGTTGCTGCTTCTTGTTGTGGTTATAGCATGGTGTCTAGAGTAATGCGTATCCACCACTGGAAATGAACTCGACAGATCTGTAACTAAATTAACCCAAGTTCGCTCTTTCGGTTTCCACTGTCTGGAATAATGAGCAGCTTACTTTTGTAACGCAGCCCCCACTTTCAGAATCCTATCTTCGTCTGCGTACCTAATTTTATTTTCACTAGCAATCTCTTACCATTCCTTCATACTATATGGAGATTCATCTGGATCAAAATAGCTCAGTTTATAATCAATGAAAGGTTTACTTACAGTTGCAGTCGTTATTCCGTTGCCAAAATTATTTACACTTGATTGCTGCTCCAACAACTTTACCAGCCAATCAATAGTTGCTTGTTGCATTTCTACATGCTCAGTCTGAATTCTCTCTTGCTCTTCATCTCGTTCTGCTTGCTCTTTTCTTTTTTGTCGTTTAAAGTCCTCTAGATTCTGCTTAAGCTATTGTATGTACTTTGGACATTATTTTTTGTTTTTGGGCTTACAAATTTTATTAGGAGTACGCGCAACTTTGGTTAAAATAACTTTCCGCATGTCATTAGCATTTATTGGCATTTGTACCTTCTCAATGGTTTCGTCCAAACTGGATAGCGGTACATCAATGTCAATTGATACCGAATCACTCTCACTATTACCACTCATTGTCGTCCACCTATCGTTCACTACAACGAAATCAATAATAATTGTTCACAGGCAGAGTCTCACCTCCACGGAATGTTTTTTTTTTTTTCTACATTTTATTTCAAAAATTACAAAACAAAAAGCCGGTTTTCTAACACATTTAAACAAAATTATATATGGCAACATTTGCCGATGCAGCTTGATGAAATTTTCATAACAAAACACATGATACAATGACAAGTCAGAAGTTTCCCACCATGCGCCTGACCTCTATTGACCTCTTTTGCATCTAACATCCATATTTTGCATTTCCTGGCTTTTGATTGGACTGATTTTATATCTTAACAATGATCAATCAAATCAAACCATAAGCTGACCCAATCAAGAGCTGGGAATAGCTCTTCAGATGCTAAATTTTGATTTTGGAAGTTCATATTTTGAATATTCTTGGCTTTTGATTGGGTTTATTTAATATCACAGAAAAAACTCCATTAATCAAATCAACTTCAACCCAGTCAAGAGCCATCAGGAATAGACAAAAGTTGAATTATATGATTTCGAAAATTCTAATTTTAAATTTTCCCGGCTCTTGATTGGAATCGTCCAATCATGTCTTGGAAAAAATTTAATGATAAATCAAACCGGCTGTCCCAATAATCGAGAGCCAGAAATATCTAGAAGCTGTGATTTTAAGAACCAATTCAAATTTTGCGATGGGGTTAGTTTTATTTCTCCAAAACAATTCCATCAAACCAAATACCTTTAATCCAATCAAGAGCCGGGAATGGAAAAAAGTTAATTCTAATTTTAAAAATTCAAATTTTAAATTTTCCCGTTTCTTGATTAGATTCCGTTTAGTATATTTCAGAAAAAAATCGATCAAAAATCAAACCAGCTGACACAACATAATAATCAAGACCCATAAATAGGCAGAAGCTGTGATTTTTAAAATTCAAATTTTGAATATTCTTGGATTCTGAATGGTTTAGCTTTATTTCTCAGAATTTTTTTCACAGCTATCGGACCAATACCCACCCCTACTACGTAAAAACCGCCCTCCAGCACAGTCATCATACCACTACCCACCTCCACTGTAATTTTCAAAAGCTCCTCTTAAGTCCCCTACTTTGAGCCCCATCAAAGAAATAATTTTACTGCTATATACCTCACATCTTAAGAACCTTCAGCACCATTTCAAGTAACATCAAGTTCATACAAAGTTATTCAGTTCAGTTCAGTTGTTAGTTTCAAATCAATTATTTATAAACGTTTATGGTTTAGAGAGATAAAGATTCAGAATTATGTTATGAGCTGGTTGGTCCTCTTCATTATACCGATAAACCAATTCATGCAAACTTATTGTTAAGTAGTGAAGGTGGAAAAAATAATCATTATTGGATTAAGGATATGTCAAGGTTAGTTGCATCTCAAAAAAATAAAACAAGTTTTAGAAAATATTTTTGTGATGGGATGTATAATTTGTTTCAATTCTAAAAAAAAATAGATATGCATCAAGTAAATGATTGTAACCATGTGTTTACAAAAATTCCAACAACTGACATAAAAGTTAATAAATATGGGAAAAAGATCCCGGAAAATATTTTTCAGTTCGGAAACTTTCAGAATCAACTTAAAGTTCCATTTGTAATACATATATGCCGATTTTGAGTATTTGTTACAATATGAAGAACCAACCAATGATAAGAGTTCTTTTACTTTAAACACTTTTAAGCATGAACCATATTCTTTAGCTTATTTCATTAAATCTTCATCAGAAGTAGATTATTATTTGGGTCTTGATGCAGCTGATGAATTTTGCAAACGAATTGAATTCATATTCATAGTATTTATATTAATTATTTAAAACATGTAGTACTGATGGTTCCTCTAAAAAATGAAAAAGAATTTCAATTTGAACATCGTATCATTTGCAGTATATGTAATGAAAAATTTAATCTCTTGATGGAAAAGCGAGGGATCATGATCATTTAACTGGAAAATACCGACGTGTAGCACATAATATTTGTAATTTAAACTACAAGCTCCACAGTTTCATTCCGAAGTTTTTCCACAATCTAATAGGATATGATATCCACCTATTCATCAAACAACTTTGTTGTGAAAATTATAAAATTGATATTCTTGCACAAACTCAAGAAAATACATTTCATTCACAAAGTCACTATTGCTTTACAAAATTGAACAAGCTGATAAAACGAAAGTCGAAGGATATGGAAAGAGGTGCCTCCTCAGGGTAGTAGCTTTTTGAAAATAGATTAATGGAGGGTTTCACGGAAAGGGTTTTACAGTGAAGGTGGGTTTCTACGTTGTAGAGGTGGGTATTGGTCTGATAGCTGTGAAAACGTCCCGGGGGCACTTGAACCTGGGAACTTTTTTGATACCGTGGGAAAATCTCTAGATTGGCGGCGCCTTTGATCTGAAATTTTGGGAATTTGACCTGGGCCAACCCCAAAATTGACGAACACAAATAGAAGAATTGGTTTAGTTTTCAAGACAGTGGAAGGATATAAAAAAAGTGCCTCCTTAGGGTAGGGACTCATTGAAAATAGATTAATGGAGGGCTTCACGGAAGGGGGTTTTCAGTGAATGTGAGTACTGGTATGATTACTGTGCTGGAGGGGAGTTTTCACATAGTAGAGGTTGGTATTGGTCTGATAGCTGTGAAAACACTCTACTAATCAAGCTAAATTAATTTCAACCCAATTAAAAGGCAGGAATAGACATAAGTTGAAACTATGATTTTGAAATTTCAAATTTTAAAATTTCCCATTATGATAGAATTATTCTTAGGTATCTCAGAAGGAATTTATAATCAATCATATCCAACCAAGCTAACCCAATCAAGAGACAGGAATAGGCAAAAAGTTAAATTAGGATTTTTACTATTCAAATTGTGAATTTTGATATCTCCTGGCACTTGATTGAGCTAGATTTATTTCTAAGAAGCGATTCAATTGAATTAGATTGACATCAAATTGAATTAAATAACTAATCCTATATCAAAAGCCAGGAACGACCAAAAAATCAAGTTGGATTCAGAAAATTCGCAAAAGCTTCAATAAAATTATTTTCTTGGTTTTCGTTTTTTCACAGTAGGTAGATCTGAACTTGAAAGAGCAAATTTCGTTGCTTTTGCAGGACTTTTTCTAAACTCTCCTGAATGAATCTGTCACTTGGCCCCCTCAATTCAATTACTTAAGCCTTGCTTTTAAGTTGCCTAAATTATGGGTTCATTCTCAGGTTCATGAGACTTTTTTCTTTCAAAAAAAAAAGATAATAGACTAAAATAATAAATAAAAATTAATCATCCGAATATGTGATATTTACTTTCAAATTATAGGGTGGTTGGGGAAAACGCTTCATTCCATCCGAAGACGACATGGCCATCCGACAATTGGCAGCTGCCCTAGAAGAAAACGACAACGAAATCAATAACATCGATTATCATCCTCAAGATCAGGACCTGGAAACTTTGCCCGAAGTCAACAAGAGAAATTGGAGGAGTTTTTCAGACGGATGGGGCAAGAGGAGCGACAAATGGGACAAATTCAGAGGTAATTTTTTTTTTAAATTTTATACAAACCATAAATTTGTTGATAAAAAAGCCAAATGATATATTTTATTCGGCTGGAAAAGGTAATATATAAATGGCATGTGTATTGTGCAGATAATATGGCGGCAGGTTTAAAGCTTTGAAATGGCCTGAGCCTTAAATTTTTCAGTGACAATGGTTGCTTGTTTTATTGTTATTGGGGACACGGGACAAAATGGGATATAAATGAAGATAATAATTTTACTCTAAAAAGGTATATTTGTTTCTATAAAACAAGTTTTCACGGTAGTTATTAGGTTTATAGTTACTCATATTGTACTGGAATTACAAATAAATGGATTTGAGCTTTTAAGTGAAATGTAATGTAAAAATGAACACAAATAGCGTGCTTGCAAAAACTGAAATTAAACGATCACCAGTTGCGATTAGAATAACATCAAAAGTTTATGGCAAACGAGTAAGGACAACGAATTCCTGGACAAGTTTTGAATGCCAGATGAGGCACATTTTCATTTCAAGCAGAGAGATATACGAACGATTTTTCTTTTGAATTCCGAAATAACTATATATGAATGTCTAAGTGTCCCATTTAAGCAAAAATATTCTATATAAAATAAAACAGATTGTTTTACTACCGCCTAATTTATTTCAGTACAAAGACCATCAGTCAAAGTAGGTAAAAGATATAAATTCGAGAAAATGTAAACTCAAACCGCTTACTTTACTCCCCGAAATCTCCGACACGCCAAAAGAGGGTGAATCGTAAAGGATTTGACGATGCGAATTTTATCGAAGATTTTAATTAAACTTAAATTCTATTCGCGAATTCCTAACTTCTTGATAAATTCTATTAAGTGACAAGGAATTAAACTTTTTTTGCTGCTTTTCGGTATCTACCTAATACGCAATCAAAAACTACTCTGGTGCAACAGTTTTTTTGAATTTCGTGTATTTATAATGAACAGAACTCTTTTTCGGAGTCTTCATTCTTAAGCCATGACTCTTGCATGAAGCAGTCCAATGATTTCAATGCCTTTAATGAATTGGAGGTTTGAAGGGTTACAATCAAGATCCGTAGAATTTTCAATTTTTCCACCGTTGTCCCACCATGAACTCGCGTTATTTCGATACGTTAACCTAGGTACGTCTCTGATCAGTGAATTCCTTATTCTTAATCCTTAAAAATAATTAACTTCGAAGGATTTTGTAATTTTTAAAGTTCCTAAAGGCTTTAATTTTAAGACTTAAATCAAGCGAATAGGTATTTTAATTATATTTCTGTTTCCAGGTTCGTGGGGTAAACGTCAGCCCGCCTGGAACAACCTGAAAGGCCTCTGGGGTAAACGCAGCGTCACCGAATAAAAACCCCGATTTTATAGACAAAAAGTTACCTTGCCCTCATCTTTCTACTTTTCATTAGATTTTCTTTTGTAGCTAAATGAAAAATGTCATCAAAATTGTATTTTATTTATTGTTAAGCTGAAATGATCAAAAAAAAGGTGTTTACATTTTGAGAATAAAGGACAATCAACTATAAGACAGGAATTCCAGCTGAAAAGTATAGAAAATGAACACCTTTTCTTTTAAAACCATCTATTTATTATTAAAGATGTGATTAGTTTAATAATTATTTTCCTAATTACAAAATGAAATACCTACTTGTTCCAAAACTAAACAATAAGTTTTCTTTTTTCTGACCAAATTACTATTTGTGGTGATTCCCAAATTTTATTCAAGTTTTCATTTGTATATTAATTTTCCACTTTACTATAATATCTCTCTTTTTGTCATTAAGGTAGATAGGAGAAAAAAAATATATATTTAAAAAAAAATACTAAAAACCTTACTATAAGTACAGATTTAGTAAGAGGTGATGTGTAATATTTGTAATTATTCCTATATATTTAACAATAATAAGTTAATTTACCATCTACTATTATACGTACTATTATATTATTACTTAAGATAACCCACCACTGACATGGAAACAAATACTTAGATAAATGTTGTGAATAAATCAATAGGAGCATTCTTTGCCCATTTAATTTTGTGAGTTGTTTTTCTTTTTTAATCCTGAAGAAGTAACTGTCAAACGTATTTTCCATTTTTCTGAGCAACTTGAAACTCATAGCGATTATAAATAAATTTTTGCTTCGAGAAAAACTAGTTCTGATTTCATGTACAAGTTTGTTCTTTATTTTTTACTTTCCTTCCTTTTTTGAAGCACAGTCACGATCTAATATTTCTTCTTTGCTGATTTTCCTCTAAAAGTAGATCATCATCATGATGTTAATAAATGAAGGATATCATCCTCATCACCATTTCTCTGTAGTAATTATTTTACCAATGGAAGATTGTTCTGGTATTTCCTATTCCAACCTACAACATTTTAGAAGTGATGGTATTTTGTGATATCATTGGTATCCTTTATCGTTTCCAGTCGTTTTTCTTTTGACATTTTGCAACGTTCTTATACTTGTGTGGAAATTTTAGATTCTAGCATTAAGGGTTTATGTATCTCTTTAGTAGACGGCAACCCCATTCAGTTAGACCTCTCTAATAGATGACTTGCGCTTTTATAAATGAGTTGGGCTCCGGTCAGTTTCTCACAATAGAATTGTTGACATTATCATTATTTGGTAAATATAGGATCTTCAGTCAAAATTTACTAATCATGCACTTTTCTTTTGGTTCTTAAGGTTCTATAAAATGATCTTATGTAAATGTGTTCACATATTTGTGGTTTATACAGTTTACCTAATCTTCTTCCTGAATTATTAGATATTTGATCTCTGGTCACTCAGGTCACTATTTCAGTAAATAAAAGATTAGGTACTCATTTCTTAAAAATATCCATGTATTGAACACTGAATATGTCCACAAACGGACAAACAGATAACAGGTACATACAAGTTAGTTTTAATATTATACCCATATTCCGGTCTTTCAAAATCTCGTCAAATTGGAACGAGTTGGTGAATTTCTAAATGAGTATGTTGTCCCATAGTTGTATTTCAACCACTACTGTGTTTCAGGGATTATCTAACAGGCAGACTACACTATGTTAAATGTGAAGGTAATAGTAAAAGGGAAAACATTGAACACGGAGTGCCCCAAGGTTCAATTCTGGGACCGACACTCTTCCTAGTCTACATGAACTCACTGTCATACATACCTCTTCAAGGCTCACTCGAGTTAATATATGCAGATGATACTTGCATCACTTATTTTGATAAGGACCCTGCTAACTTAAAAATCATCATTAAAGAAGGCTTACAGAAAATAAGCGATTGGCTCTTTTACCACAAACGTTTAAATATGAAAAAATTAAGCTATTGTGTCCTGGCCTGACTACACGATAAACTTTCAAGATCTCCCATTGACTCGTGCAAACTGCAATAAATACCTGTGATTCTTTGTCGATTCGAAACTTACTTGGGATATGCACATCTTGCATATCTGTAAAAAGATCACACCAGTGATTGAAATACTTGGTCCGTTCGAAAATCAGACTATCTGTCCATTACGCATCGTAAGCCAACACAATCCACCACCACAATACAGGTTCAATAAAAACTTAAGAACGTCGGCGATGAACACTTCAACTGGTTAACGCTACATCTTATCAGACGAACTGAGGTACTACAATCGAATTCCAGAATCTATTAAAAGATTGAACATAACATTGCTTCAAGTGTAAGCTGAAGCAGTTGATCTTCGATGGTTACTTTTGGGACTGTACAATGGAAAACCTTTTTTTTGCAATTTGCAACCACTTTGTGATACAGTACCTATTACTACTGGCAAAGACAATACTACTACGACGTAGTAGTATTGTCTTTGCTACTGGCTATTTTCTCTTGAGTGATATTGTATAGTATATTATAGTGTATATTGTATTAATGTTATCTGTGATACTGAATGACCCGCAAAGCTTTTCAGCTCAGGGGCTCTAGTTTGAGTACATTCATCTATTGTTTAACTATTTTCTAAAAGAAAAAAAATCATGGTTTGTGTCAAAGGTTGTCTGATGTTTAGTAAATCATTGCTGCATTTTGTCATTTTTTGAAGAGAATGTGGGTATTTTATGTACCAACTCTGAATCGTATGGACTAAGCAGCGTTATCCATAACTGCCACGCATTTTACAGCTCTGAATGGCATAGAGAGTTACCCATAACTACATTAACTACCACGCATTTTTTTCCAAATTTACAAATAGCAGAAATAAGTTGATTAACAACCCATTTTTGAAATAAGTCCGAGTTAATACTAGTCTCGGTCCAGGGGCGTAGTCACCGGTGTTCCGCGAGTTCCCCGGTACACGGGCCCGGTAGCTCAAGGGGCCCGGTTCTACATGTCAATATTATTTTTTCTCCTATTAAGTAAAAAAAATACGTTTAAAGCTTATTTAGATGAAAACTAGCTGACCCGGCGAACTTCGTACCGCCTCTGAATTATTAAATACCTATTAAATGTTGTGTTAACGTATCTATTAGCTGGATTAAATTCAGTTTTTTGCTATTCTTCTATTCCTTCCTTCATACAACTTTTAAACTTAAGAGTATGAGTCAGGGTAAACACGAAGGGTCAGACAAAAGGAAGACGCTTCAGTGATGTTCCAAAGGTATCCGGCGCTTGACAATAATAGGCAATCTGCTTTGCTTATAATCCTTGGTTTGTGTCAATCGTTCCACGTCTGTCATTATCATTGGCTATCTTTCTCTGTATCTGCACGTTATATCTTTCTTCTCTCATCTATCGTATAATCTCGTCTATCGTGTAACGAAATTTGTCAAAACGTGACGCGTCTTTCAAACCTTTCTCCATTTTCGTCCAAATATCAGACCGCTGCCAAAGGGCCGGTTTCTCAATAGCAAGTTACCCCTGGGTTGAGCATAACTCCAGGGTAAACATTGCAACTGGGACACGTTTACCCTGGAGCTGAAACCAATCCGGAGCGGAGGTGATTCGCTATTGAGAAACCGACCCTAAGAAGTTTCATTTCAGTAAAAAAATAATATATCTATATCTTCGTAGGTGAAGTCATAAGACTTATGATTATTTTATTCTTTTATAAAAAATTTACAATTTTACCGCTTGTCGCGTGTCGCATATCTTCAAAATTCATTAGTACGGCTGAACCACTCCATAGTATGCCAGGATTGCCAGGTATGCCAACTCAAGATTCTGCAATCCCTGCATTGCGCTTTGTAGTGGTTGTGCTGCCCTTTAATGAGGTGAGTTCAACTTTAACATAAAGGGTATTTCTGGCATGACATTCTACATGAAATATGTCTAGAATTTTCAGAAAAATCCAGAAATGTTCTAATATACAGAAGGTACTATTTGAAAAAATAAAGTTGATAACGGTACCTACAGCTGTTCTTGTATAAAAACATTAATGTGAAAAAATAGCAAGCAAAAATCGACGTATCTGAGCGTTTTTTCGAAAACGCCTTCATTTATTTTATATTGAATATGTTCCATACTTCAAGCTCACCCGGTATAGATATTTGAAAAAATAGTCATTTCTATCATTTCTCAATTTTTTTATCTCGCAGGAGCAGGGGCCCGGTGAAGTTTTTGAACACGGGCCTGGAGCATTACCACTACGCCACTGTCTCGGTCATTGTTTTGCAAGTGCAAGTCTTAAAAAAAGTCGCATCCGCATCTGTCCAAAAACCGTGAATAAGTCCCTGTAGGTATGCAAAATAGTAAACTGTTTTCCCTCTGATTTAATTTTGTACGGATCACTTCTCATTTCATTTCAGATTCGTGTATCCATAGACGAATCTGAGATCCATTTTAACAAATATAGGTTCTAGATACACGAATCTGCTATTTTCTACTGAATTTTTCTATTGGAGTGATTTCCTTAACAAGCTAATTTTTGCAGCAGTAACATGTTTTTGTTCAATTAAAGGTTTTCCCTCCCTTAACTTTCCTAAAGTTGTACCCTAAAGATTTTAAAATTTTGTATAAACCTCCGTAAATTCCAAATTTTCTTTTGCGTGTGCCAGTAACGTTTGTGAAGTAAAATAAGAGTTAGTAGAATTCTATTTCCATATTTGCTTTGTAAGTCGTATTTGGAGTCTTAAGTTTATGAGTAGAAAATTGTAATTTCAAAGTTCAAAATCAAAAGGGTCGGTGCAAATGGCCATTAAATATTTGTGAAAAACTATACCGGTATGAGCCGTTAAAACCGAAATTATAGGTCCGAACCGAATCGAAATATTTCTCTTAGAACCCAAGGGCGCCCGCGGGTTCCAGAACACCTCGTGGGTACTGATGCTCATGCACCGGCATCTGGGAGTATGAACAGCACGCCGCAGGTGCCTCCGACGGCGAAAAAACTTTTCCGGATGCCACGCCCAAAAACGTTTAGCAGCATTCTTTAATTTACATTCGGACGAGTGTCTGAGAAGGGAATGCTAATACATTTCAAACAACGTAGTTCACACCTTTCCATATTCGTTTTCCAGCTGCGGGAACAAGTGTCGCTTAGTGTTTGCGTAAGTTTTTTGCAGTGTCTGCTAAAATTGGAAAAAAAGACGGCTATGAGGGTAAAGTGTGGAAAACTCTCCTGCAGATATTCTTTTCCAAAGCAGCATGTACCGCAAATCAGCGTTTTACGCTGTTCTCCATGAAATATTTCTAATTTTCTTTATCTTCTTCTTCTAAACAAAGTACCACCATGTTCCGATGTCAACTGCCAGTACTGGATTTACTGTGCTGATTTTACTGTCATTTTCCGTTCCGGTTTCAACAGTACTCTTGTGGTCATTCAGTAGTGAATCGACATTGTACTGAAAATAATATCGGAACGGCGTCCAGTAAATTCAGTACTGACAGTTGATATCGGAACATAGCTTAAGGCTATGGTCCAAATATAACCAAACTTAAGCCATTAACTCTGTTCCAACAGACATGAGAACCGTTCCAGGACAAATAATTATCAGTTGCCCACCTATTTTTTAATAAGTTGAACGTTTATCCTTATTGACAAATGGATTGATCGACTGGAAATTAGCATTCTAGAAAGGTTCTGATGTCTGTTGGAACAGAGCTCAAGTAACCGAATCGGTCGAAAGATGGTTACTGAAAATTCCGGTTACTTGGGGAACGCAAATATGGAAATAAAACATAATTGACAGAAGTTACAGATAAAACCAACAGAACCGACATGCGATGGCCGGTAACTATTTTGACATTTGGTTAACCAGATTTCAGGAACCCGAGGTACAAAATTAACCAGTTTTCCCGGAACTAGAGAGGATTATCAGTTTTTATGTCTATGCTCGTGAGTGCTCCGCACCCACTGTAACGGAACCGATAATTCATTTCGGTCCGGGCCCCTGGATTTAAGGGATGCTTCTCATTTCTCATGTTTGCTTCAATCTTTGGTGACAATCACCTATCCTTCATCGCAGGTAACTTACTTCAACTTAATTTAAATTAATAGAACCGTATAAAGGAAGACAGTGGAATAATAATTCTATTATTTAATATAACAACGGTCAAGAAGACAAATAACTATAGTGAAATTATTTAAATAGTGTATGCACGTGATCAATGAACTCCGTTCTCGAAACCAAGGAACAGCGTTCTCATAAGAACGATTGCTCTGTCATTGTCAGTGTTATGCCGGACGACAAAGACAAAACCTTCGTTCCAATGAGAACGCTGCTTCTCTGTTTCGAGAATAAAGTTCCCACTGAGTGGATGAACTAAGCCGCTGGCACCGCCTGAATGCACCCATTGACAATTTTACATTGTGGTATTGCCAACATAATGTCATTTTGACTTTTATCTTTAAAAAAAAAAAAAAAAACAGACTTTATTCAGCTTGTGATTGGTCGCATTCCTTATGCGCTTATGCTATGCAATTATGCAGGTTTGTCTGGGATGGCCCTAATAGTATGAATTCAATCCTATGTACAGTTTTTGGATAATCATACAGTTTCTTATGTACAGTTTTTGAATACTCGTACCTACAGTTTTGTATGTTTTCGTATGGTTCTTCATTTAGACCGTCAGATAGTGACATATTTAGGTGCCCCATTTTCGCATACAAGCCTCGAAGAGGGTTGAGAAGTACATCGATTTTGAGTAGGATGAAGGTATTTTCACGAGTGGCTCCTGGGAATAACATATGGAAAATTCGATTTCACTTATGTTACCCTAAAATGTACTTTTCCATTCGCGACACTCAAGCCAATATGTTTTCTTGCTGCCAACTTCGTAGATTTTTCATCCTTCCGATGGGCTTGTGTGGAAAAATCGTCAAAAATCTCGATTTTTGATTACAACATTAGGTCCTTATTTCAAACCTTCAGCCACCTGCAAAACCCCCTTCTTTGTTTTCACGAAGGCAGGATTTATTATTTAATCCTTTGGTCAACACGGCTTGCGAGAAAATATGGGCACCAGGAGGTTTTTCATTTCTGTTATGGAAAATCCAATTTTCCAGAAGTTATCTCCAGGAGCCACCCGTGAAAATACCTTCATCCTACTCAAAATTGATGTACTTTTCAACCCTCTTCGAGGCTTGTATGCGAAAATGGGGCACCTAAAGCCTGTTTTTTTTTTTAAAGATAATTCCTCAAGTCAAAAATTTAGTAACTATGTTGGCAACACAAGCCTTTTCCACATAAAAAATTTGAAAGCATTGACAATTTTACATTGTATTGCCAACATAATGTCATTTTGACTTTTATCTTTAAAAAAAAAAACAGATTTTAAATATGTCACTATCTGACCACAACTATCTGACGGTGACGTTTTTACATGTAAAAATGTCACTTTGAACGTTGATTATCGTTAAACCTCCCTTAAAATTGTCGGTGCAAATGGCCATAATGGGCGTTTGCACCGACCATTTTAAGGGAGGTTTAACGATAGTCAACGTTTAAAGAGACATTTTTACATGTAAAAACGTCACTTTTAAACGTTGATTATTGTTAAACCTTGCTTAAAATGGTCGGTGCAAACGGCAATAATTCGTAGAAATCGTATGTCGATCGAGTGTACGCCACTGGTATTTTCCTGTAGGTTTTTTATGCATCCTTTTCAGTGGCGGACGGAGGATCTTTGAGGCCCGACGCAAAAAAAAAAGTTGAGGCGCTGTCATGCTTTTTTTAGGTATTTCTCTTGTGGTGTTGAGAGCATTAGCTGACGTCACACACATAACCTCACTTTCTATGGGGGGACAAACAAAGCGTTTGTTTGTTTCATGGCCGTTTCCTTCACCTACTTTAGGATAGCCCTAACAATACGTATTCCTCAAACTGATATTTCTCCATGGAAAACTGTTATTTTAAAAAATACATATCAATAAGACCGTAAAATATGTAGTTGGTGAAACGGCCGTCAATGATATGTTTGGTCAGAACATGTTCGTCCACCTATTGGAAAAAAACGTTATGTGATTGACATAATAGCTATCGCCTAACTGATGTGTGTAATTAGCCTTGAACGCTTTGTTTGTCTCCCTATCTAAAGTAAGGTTATGTATGTGACGTCAGCTAGTGCCTGATTGAAAAACAAGATCATTAAATAAGAACATGGACATATGCATAAAATAGAAGCAAATGCTTTTGCTTGAGTTTTCTGAGATAAACATATTCAGCTTTAATGCAGCAAAAAGAGACGGAGGGGAGGTTCCACTTTATTCATACGACTGAATATGAGAACAAGTTAAACGAAAAAAAAAAAAAAAAAAATAGTTAATATGTAAAAATTCAGGAACTTTCTATCTGAACAAAAAGAAATACAAGTAGAAGTATAGTTTCCACATACAAAAAAATTAAAAACATTAAAATATGCGTTCCGCGCTTGCATTTCCCAGAGATATACAATGTTGCATTAACTTTCAAAATTTAATATTCGATATTTTTTCAATATACTTACATGAGTTTACTTTTCTTTATTGATGTCTTTAGCTTTAAAATCCGGTTGTGAGGGCCCCTCAACTCTGGGGGCCCGACGCAGGCAGAGTGCGTCCTTTGCTTCATGTTAGATCCGCCACTGATCCTTTTAGCTATAAGGGCCCCATACACTACGTTCTTTCTCGTCGGTTTTCATCGCCACGATGAAACACGTCGTTCCAAAACCGAAGTGTGTGGTAGAAAACCGTCCCGAAAACCGTCGTGTTTTTCTACCACACACTTCGGTTTGGAACGACACCGACGCGACGTGTTTCATCGCGGCGCTGAAAACCGATGAGAAAGAACGTAGTGTATGGCAAGGATAATACACACTACTACTACAGGATATCTTATCCTCATAGGCCTGTGGGTAACAAATCCCCGCCTAGCGAAACAACCAGATGTGACGTAAGCAGCATGGCGTTTCTCACCTTGACGTAGGCTGTTTAAATAGCTGACGACTTAGTTATGACGTCGGCAATGGTTGAAAACAGTTGAAAACCAATATGGCGGCGATTACCAAAAACGAGGCCGATAGCATTCCAGAGTGTGTTTTCTCCTTGGTGTATGGGGCCCTTTAGCTTTGATTTTTAGATGTAGAAACCTGTAATTTCACAAGTTTAGACATAACCCAACATAAACAAAACAAGCATAACCTCATTTTATTTTTGAAGAGAGGAGACTCGTTTAAGCAAGAGAATTTTAATATTTAAATTTTACCTGTTTAAGGTATATTAGTAATAATTACAGTGGCTTAAAATGTTTTCCTCAAAGGTAAGCTACAGCAAAACTTTAAAATCAAATTTTTCAATGCAATTTTTAGCTTATTTTATCAGTAGCACTACAGAGTGGCAATAAATCAGGAGGCCCTTTAAATATTTTGAAAAGACTAGCCTCCACTACACAACAGGAACCGGCTAGGTTAGAAAAGAGTAAGTTATTATTCATTGATAGATTGCTTTATAAAAATCCCTTTTTTTTTCAGCAATTAATACTGTCACACTACTGGGTAGGGTAGGTGCTGATCCTCAAAGAAAAGGTTCAGACGACCACCCCATAGCAGTTTTTTCGCTAGCAACTCACACCAACTACCGATACGAATCGGGAGAATTTTTACAAAGAACTGAATGGCACCGAATAGTATGTTTCAAACCTGGCCTTAGAGAAACCGTGTTGAATTTCCTGAAAAAAGGCCAAAGGGTGCACGTCACCGGTAAAATTACTTATGGGGAAATGAAAGGAGATGATGGTAATACAAAAACTACAACAGCTATTGCTGCTGACGATATTATATTTTTTCAAACGCAACAGTAATTTTTAAGGCTGAATAACTATTGCATTTTTTTTTAAGTGGCAAGGAATATTTCTTTATTATATTATTTAGTGTTGATAAGATCTAAAACAGTAATTTTGTAGTTAATTTGGAATAATAATTATTGTTTTTATCTACCAGTTCCTTCTAACGCTTTATTTCATGCAGTATATCTATATTTAAGTATATTAAGAAGAAGGCAATTACATCAAACCTGACCTCACAGAACTACAAAGAAAATTCTGCAGATTGCTTTTGCAAGAATTTGAAAATCGCTGTGCTGAAGGTGAAAGCAAACTGAAAATTAAATACTTTGGCTGTTTAAGAATTGTTAAGGATTATGTTCAAGTACAAACCCAAAACAACAAACAAAATATTCAGTAGTAATTTCAAATTCAAATAAATTGCAATAATGTTCCATTATCGATTGTCTAACTCTCTTTTTTGCATTTTAAGTCCCTGTATCTAATGCTCCATTTTTCTGGATCATTCCAGTAACATGGTCTATTTATGAGAGTGTAAAATGACATACATACATATTGCTGACAAAAACGATGGAGCCCAAAATGCGCCCTCGGAGGTTTCCTATATTGTTCAAAACCTTCGAAATGTATAACTTCCATTCCCTGGAGACAAAATTTAGAAATAACTTATTTTCTATGAAAATATGTAGTAATTGTGAATTTGAAAACAGCCGATTCATTTTCCCTTGAGAAAATGCTAAATAGGAATTCAACTAAGTAGTTTTGAGAAAATTGAGTTAAACCTGTAAGTTTATTGGTTTCATAAGGGCTTTATTCAGCTTTAAATATTCCTTAAATTGTAGTTTCTTGATTCAGGTTCCTGTCATTTAAATTATTATATATTTTGAAGGTATTTTTTTTTTTTTTCATACACTACGAAGCCCAATATGTTTTCAGGGATAAATACAACTTGTGTAACTATCCAAAGCTTTTTATTTCTTACAGCGATATTTTTAATTACTTATTTAAACCACTTAAATTAAAAACCTCTTAAACAACAATCAAAAATTAAAAATGAGATAAATCAACTACAAATTTCACTGAAGTTATATTTTGATGAAATTGTCATCAATCAACCAATTAAAATTAAACCATTTTTAAATTGATAGAATTGAAAACTAACAATTAATTATTATTTTACAACTGACCCATAGATCAGTTGCATCACAGATATACAACAAAATAAAATTAATTAAATACAATAAATATTTTAATATTCTAAAAAATTACCATATGGAATTAGTTTTTAACAAAAAAAAAAAATCACAAAATCAGTTAATAATTATTGATACCTATATACAACAAATTTGCACCTTCGAGTTATTTAAAAATAGTTCAGTTTTGTGTGAAATAAATGTGTAGATTTCAACTTGGAGGGTGAAAAATTAATAAAAACGAACAACTAGCTATAATTTTTTTTCAAACAAAAAATTATATTTCCATATGAATTTTATCCCAGTGGTCATTTTTCAAAAATTTTCTCTCAAATTAGAAAATAAAAATGTGAATTTATTGAACGAATCCATCCACCAAGCATCTCTATCTTGTGCCATCTGTGAAAGTGTGTGCGGCTCCAGAATTGGTTTAATAAGAATAGAATAGAAGATAATCATACTTGGTATCGAGTGATTGCCTATGATGATCACAGAAATATTACCTACCCCTTTTGAACAAACATGTCCCAACTTTTATTTTATTTTTTTTTGGTTTAAAAGTTATAGCCCATTGTTTGTTTTTAAATTATTGGCAACCTGTAGAACCCTGCTTGAAAAAAAAAAAAAAACTTATCCACAACAACAAATTATTTATAACAATATCAAAAATTTTAAGAGCAATTAACAATAATAATTATAACAACCAAAAATAATCCTTTTCCTGCTTTATTGTTGCTTATTTCTGACTTAGAAATAAATAAAATATAATATACATTTTTGTACAAACATAATATAAAATGAGACTCAACAAAAACCAAAATTACTTTTGTGCTTACAATAAATTATTAATTTTTCGTAAAGATAATCATAGTTTTTATGGAATAACTTCATGCCTGGGCCGAGATTCTAAAATCACGATTCGACAACGAGACGCAACTCGATACCGGACCAGTCGTCTCGAAATGTATGATTCCAATGAGATTTCTAACCTAGGAGTCGTATGTCGAATCATGATTTTAGAATCCCCGGCCGGATGTATTAGGTTTGTTCCAAGCCGCCAAAAAACCGCCCCAACTTCGGAACTTACTCTGTATACGAATTTTACATTTTGTGCAGAATTCTCATAGTGAAATGTAAAGTTGCGATAAAAAAAAAAGTAGTACAAAAATTATTAACCCCAATTTGAGCTCCCGGTGTAACATACAAAATTTTGACAGGCAATGACATATTCTAGGTTAAAAACGGGTGGAAAAATGTCAAAATAATGTCATCTGAAGCTTTCTAGGTTAAAAACTTGTTGAAAAATGCCAAAAATATGTCATTTTTGGTTATGAATTAAATTAATTTATAATAGACCAGGAGATTTTGGAGATTTATCTTGTACTACTTTTTTTTTATCGCAACTGTACGGTTCCCTCCTGGGTTGGAACAAAGCTATACATAACAAGGGGAGATGATTATTTTTAACAAATTAAACTGTATGATTAACTTCAAAATTCAATCAAAATACTCCAGGAGCTGTCTCTACTAATATAATACTTAATCAGTTCTTTATCCTAATGCAAATTCCTATCAATAACAGCTTCTATCACAATAATAATGAAATAAAATAACAAAGCATCCTAAATAAATTATTTGAGATTGTCTACTCGATTTTATTAAATAAAATTGATTCGATGTGAAATAAAAAATTAAAACTCTTTTCTATTGAAAAAAAATTAAAATTATTTTAAATATTTCACAAAAAAAAAAACTCGTTTCTTATCTAAAAAAGTCGAGGCGAATGCAAACCGCTTGTCTGATGGTCCAATTCGGGATCGTGACAGGCACCGATCGGGCCCCAATCGTACAAAGTGTGCGAATTCGCTAATCTATGAGTTAATCTGTGCGCTATCGAAAAACCACCGCTACCTTCCAGCTGTGTCAATACAATAATAACCTGAAAATTAACTATTTTCAAAAAAATATAAATTTGTTAGTGGCACAAATTACAACTGTAACTGAAACCACATTATTTTTTCACAAAGAAAAGTAGGTACATTTACCTGTCTAGTAAGTGGTGGCACAGAATCCACAGTTTTCAAAGTCCCTCTTGTCGAAACTACGTTATAACTCTCCTGGCAATCGCATTTCACGTGAATCCACTTGTTTTCGTGCCTGTTTTCGACCATCACGACCAAACCGGCCCAGCCTTTGGTCAAATAATACGCCGTCATTCCTTCTCTACCTTCGTGCCGTTGCCCTCTGGCTAACGTTAGAGATATTATTGAATCGGCTAGGATGTTGTTCGGAGGCTTTATGTGTTCGGCAAGCAGTTTTTTCGAACTGTGAATACCTAGAACGTACCTGAAAAAACAATAATAATAGTTTTTAGCCAATATTATATTACAGAATACTATTTTTTTGTGACAATAATACTTTGTTGTAGTTGTATGATGGTATTTGTATAGATTGTAGATTAGATTGTTTATACTAGTTTTATCATTGAGAGAATAAGATTATCAGAAGTACCTAATAGAAATTGTTCTTACTTTGGATAAGCAGTGATATCGTCTAACCCTGTATGCCAATGATTAAACGCCAAAGGAACGACAACGTACTCGCCAGGTTCTAGCATTTTACAGCAACCTACGAATCCTCGCACTTGCCTCTTGCTGTGCTCTACTAAACTACCTATTGTGGTCCCCTGTCTAGCTTTGAATAACACTACGCATAAATCTAGCTGAGATCTTTGGGACTTTTCAGATTTTCTTTGCCCTTTCTAAAAAAAATATAACAGTTTTTTTTTTCTGAAACTAAATTGATCAAACTATTACCTGAAACAAAGTAAAATCCACCTCTGTCGGTTCCAATATCGTCAACAATATACAAGAAAGATGCTGTTGGCTGGCTAAAGGAGGCAAAATTCCATTCAACCTAACTTCATTCCAGCCCGATCGTACTTTACAAATGTCGATACAATCGAAGTACTTCAGTACGTCATTGAACGATATCCAAAAAGTACCATCTTGCGGCCCCTCCGGCATCAGCTCGCTTCTCAGATACATTGTCCATAGAGTAGAGTTGTCCGACCAATCACCTTTCCATACAAAATGGCCTGAAATTGAGTTAATAATGTTTATGGCTGCTTGGTGTTAAAACGAGTCTTACCCCAAGGATTTCTTAACTTTAACAGTCTTTGACCTTCCAAATCTCTAACGTCTAGAAGCGAATAAGCATGCCGAGGCCTCAAGCCTTTGGAACTGTATTCTAATTCGTCAACTTTCATATTTCCTCCGCCGCAAGAAGCACCCATTAAGAACATGGCTTGACGTGAAGAAAGTAATCTAAATAAAAATAATTCATGGTGAATTCAAACTATATATTTTTTTTTTCGCCATTAGCTTGAAGAGTCGACGTACTCAACTGGACCTAGTTTTCAGTAATTTTGTAGACTTTACTGTTTCGCCTGCTATTGATCTGATTTTTGACAATAATTTAAGTCATACTCTGCTATTTGTTTTGAGCTTTTCCACAAACTATCGTCAAAACGGATGGAATACGAGGAATATTTTCATGATTTTAGAAACGGTGACTAAATTTCTATTAATAATTATTTAGCTAGTGTCAACTGAAGTGAGGTGTTTGAGGGTCAATGAAATTGTGGTTAGTTTTCACGATATCATGAACATGCTAGTTAGTACTTTTATTTCCTCTAAAAAGAAATCGTACTTCCACCTTTCCGAATTAGTTTAGATCTGATCTTCGGAACTTGATAGCTAGTAAAAACGGGCACATAGAAAATTTAAAGAGAATAGTCAGGTGGACTATATTTGGTTCTCAACCTTAAGAGTGCAATGCGAGACTGCGTGAAACTTACTATCAACAGTATATAAATAGAATTGAGAATAACTGATCTGTCAATCCACGATGTTTTTGGTCATACACAGTGTGTAAAAAGTCCCGGAACAGTCAATTATTTTGAAAATAGTGCACAATATAAAAAAACTTCCTGTATAAAAGTTGAAGGTCTTGATAAAATCTATTGAAATAGGACTTATGTAATTATACAGGGTGGCCCAAAAAGTTGTGCTACACAAAACTTCATTTTTTTTTAATGGAATGATCCTTTTTTAATTACATTTTCTAATTCTTCTAGAGATTCTAAACAAGAATTATGAAAGATATCATATGGCTAAACCCATTAGTTTCAGAAATAATTTGACTTGAAGGACATAAATACGATAAGTACGATATTACCTACATTTTGCATTGTTTCGAGTTGGTTAGGAATTAGAAAATGTAATTAAAAAAGGATCATTTCATTGAAAAAAACGAAGTTTTGTTTAGCACAACTTTTTGGGCCACCCTGTATAATTACAAAAGTCCTATTTCAATAGATTTTATTAAGACCTTCAACTTTTATACAGGAAGTTTTTTTATATTGTGCACCAGTATCGAAATAATTGACTGTTCCGGGACTTTTTACACACTGTGTATATTAATAACAGGAAGAATGGTTCTCGTCTTCCTCCAAGATTGTATTAAACGGGAGAGTCGCTGATGACCCAGCAGGTGTCACAGATCCGTTTCCTGAGTATTTTTCTACTGTATATTCTCAAGATTTCATGGATGGAATATCATCCTTTCAGTTCGATAACTCAGTGAGCATAGGCAGAATCCGGCTTTCCTTGCGAGAGGGTTTCGAATTGATAAAGAGGTGTAAAGATAAGTTGAGTGCGGGATGGGATACCGGCTCTTTTTCTGAAAAGATGTATCTATGCGTTGGCCTTACCAGTTTCGCACATTTTCAACAGATCTCTGGATACAGGTTGCTTTCCAAAATTTTGGAAAGGTAGTTTTTCAAGTCTGGAGCCAGGGAGGAGACCACAAATTACCGGGCGGTTTGTAATCAGGCGGAAATACCTAAATTGCTTGACTTTCTAGTAAGTAAAAAGCTGCCCTGCCTTTTCGAAATTTGATCAGTCTAGAGCAATTTGATTTGTGAAGGGTAGATCCACTGACTCAACCTTAGTATTATATGTTAACTACAATTTTAAGTGCTCGGAAAGGGGCGTTCAGGTCGACTCGGTCTATACCGATTTTTAAGGCGTTTGACCGGGTTAATCATAGGGTGCTTCATCGCAAGCTTAAGGCTTTAAGTATCTTTCATCCTCTTCATTCTTGGATTTATGATTCCGTGACTAGCAGAACGCAAATGGTGAAGATGGGACTATTTCGGACGAGATTGAGGTTTCTTCTGGAGTACCCCGAGGGTTCTCACTTCTCACTGTCACACGGACTTGACCCGAAGGATGAGGAATAGCAGTGCCTTGATGTTTCCTGGCGATGTTAAGCTATTCAAGGAGATTAGATGTCCAATAAATGCTGTTTGCCCACAGGATGTTTTGGATTTTCCTTATGAGTGGTGTGTGGAGAATAACATGACCTTAAACATAAACAAGTGTCATAAGATCACTTTTAAGAGACAAAGAGACCCGATCAACTCAATTGATTACACACAGTTCAATATCAAGACTGAGATTTCAGTGACATTAGCCAAATTACATCCAAGGCTATGAGGGTACTTGGCTTCATCCAGAGATCCTTAACTGATTTTTCTGTGTCCACATTCAAGAGGCTGTATTATTCTCTTGTCCGATCGATTCTCGAATACTGCTCAGTTGTTTGGTCTCCTTCGTACAATTGCTATATTCAATAGATAGGAAAAGTTCAAAATAATATTTTTAAGGATAGCAGCTTTTAGGTCTGGTTATCCGAGAGAAAAGTATGAATATGCGTGGATTAGAAGTGCTCTGTCTTTGCATTCTCTGGAGGCAAGGAGAATTTTGATCGATGTGTGTTTTCTGGTCATCTCTTGTTTGGTTTGTAGGGCAAATAGTTTTGCTAAGCAAGTAACCTTTTTTGATTTCGAATTGATAAAATTTGAAAAAGATTAAAATCTCACCCGCGCTTATAAGGTGAACTGGAAACGCTTTTCATACAAATAAACATACTCAATCATAATGCACGTAAGATCAGTTGTCAACCAATACCCCCTGATACTTGATAAAAATAATACAGAATAAGGACCCCTCAGGTTTTACACCATCAATCATCACTACCTGCCAAGGGTTCCCCAGATAAGTTTCAACCCATATGAACATTACCCTGTACACCAATATCATACAATTTTTGAAGGAGCGGCCTTTGATTAATAGTGTCAAACGAGCTACTTAGATCATGAAATAGGCCAATCAGCCCTACCATCTAATATATTATTTATTCTAAGGCTTTTAGAGTCAGTATGGGCTTCCTAAACCTCGTTTGAGAATCCATAACGTTTTCAGGAACGCAATCTTAAATATTTTATCCATTAGACTGTAAACTAAGACATCTATAACATTATTTTATCAATATAAATTATAGAAGCAGTTAAAACTTTGTTTCATAAATTGAAGATTTGTGCAGTTCAGGGAGTATACTATGAAAGCTGTTTGCTTTTAGGGACTATGGGGATTCTTCAAGATTTCGCAGTGACCTGAAAGGCCTTTCGAGGCATTTATTTTTGGAGCTATTTTGAACTGTCGCCGTCGGTTCAATTGGTAAATACATATTATTGTAAAAAGGAAATTGGGATTCCTGGTTTAAATAAATTTAGAGATATGTAAAGTTCGTTTCACCAGGGTTCATACTTGACCTTGAAACTTGAAAAAAAAAAAGGTTGTCGTAGATTAATTCCTATGACACATTCAATTTTTTGACAAATTAAAATGAATGACTTCTGGTTTAAGAACCGACGAACGTTTTTGACGTCATTGATTTCTCTCAGTCAATTTTTATTTGTTAAATAAGGAAGGCAAATGCTGGTGGCAAGTACAAACCCTGGCGAAACAAACTTTATGTAACACACATTATACAGTGTGCGCCATAAAGTTGGGTACATATGGAAAAATTCTTAATTATTCCTTTTTTCAAAAAACTTTTTTTGGGGATCGTTAGGGCATGTTCGATAACCAAAAAATCGATTATGACACATGTCATGCGATTATCGGTTTAGTGGGAATTTTGAAAAAAGTTGATATTGATATCGAAAAACAGGTAAATTTAGCAAGATATCAGAAAATTTTGTAAGAAAAAGTTGTTTAGAATTTAAAAAGAACTCCACATGCCGATTTTGAAGCAAATCGGAGAAAAAAAAATAAAACCACTTATTTTACCCATACCATTAAATGGAAAACGAAAATATTAATTTTATTTTAAAAATAGCTTTATTCAACTAAACTACATAAGTTTGATATGAAACGAATCGAATGTTTTGCGGAATACACACTGGAAGGTCATAAATTAGAAAATACCGTCCGGTCGTGTCGCTATAACTGTACCCATGTCCCTTTTTGCACATTTTCTGGTCATCAGAAAAATAACATGACATGTGTCATAAAATAATTATGAATTTTCCCATATGTACCCAACTTTATGGCGCACACTGTATAAGTAAGTACTTTTAATTCTCCACCAGTTTAATTCAATATTTCTCAATCAAACAAGTTTCTTATCCGCTTATTTATTCACTCACATATTTTATTTCCAGTGGTGCAGAACTATTTCCTACCTCAATGACTATTTCGAACCACTTCAATCCGAGTTTCACTATCTTTTATCTGGTGGCTTATCATGTGATTGTACCGTTAGTGTCTTCATCAGGACTGTCTCTTAGCGGACTACTTTTTAGAATGATCTGACTCTGTCAGAATACCCTTACATGATCTAGGTATTGACCTAGATCAAGTTTAATAGTTGTATATCTATTTAGTTCTTCTATTTGAATTTGTAATAAAATCCAACTATTGATGTTTACTTTGGAACCGGTTCAAGGTTCAATCAGCTGGATCTCAAAATGACTGATATTTTCCAATTTACGTTCTGAATGTAGTAGGTTTTCACAAGCATGCCATAATTTCATTTAGAGAACCGAATCTGGTCTTAATCTCTCTCATGGCCACACACACACAATGGGCTCTTTCACTAAAATTTAAATACGTAATTTAAGTATAAAATCCCAAACGAGGGACTATTTTAGGCATATCTACAAAAAAAAATGTTCTACAAGGTTAAATAAGTTTTTTACAGGCATTTTAAACTAGCAAAATTCAAATTAATTAAAAACGCGCCGATTTGCTGACGTCGCATAAATATTTTTCATTTCGCTTGTTATTTATTGCAAGGAGCTGACCGCCTCGGCTGTATTTACCCTGTAGTTAATGCAGGTAAAGGTTCGAATGCGCTGTTGTCGGTGGTGACTAAATGTAGTGCAACGTAAAATAAATAAATAAAACTAAACATAAAAAATTATATTAAATTGTGTTTAAGCATAATTTCAATAAAAATGTTATAAAATCTTGAATCCATAACTAATTAATTTAACTACTTTTCATGATATTTTGCGAACATTTCAGAATTAAATCTATTACAAATTTTCAATGTTGACAATTAGTGGCAACTCGGTCAAATTGCGAGCTGCGACGTCATAGAAATAAATTCTGGGTTTTTATTTGGAGGTATTTCTTTTTTTTTCTGTTTTCTCAAGAAGGACTATGAATTTTTCAAAAGTAAAAATACAGAAAATTTTGTTTTTAGTTGCTTTATCCAAATATGCCAATTTCAAAAATTAGTGAAAGAGCCCCTTTTCAGTCCCTTTTCGAAAATACCTCTCCGATCATCTCTTTACAGTCGAGGAAATGGAGAGAAAAATTTCAGATCTCGATGCCTCAAAGAGTCCTGGACCAGATGGTCTCTCCTCAGTGATTCTTAAAGGCTGTTGCACATCTTTAATAGAACCTCTGAAGCATATATTCAAACTTTCTTTCAATACTGGTATTTCTCCCAGAAGTTGAAAAATCTCAACACTTTCCCTATCCAGAATTAAATCAGGAGTAATAATTATAGAGGCATATCTCATATCTCTACTACTGCAGATTCCCAAAATTATGGAATCCATTCTAACAGATGTAATTTAGTTACCACATTGCTAACGAATAGTACGGTTTTTGCAAGGGAAAATTCACTGCTACAAATCTCGCTGTCTGCCAACAATTCCTACCGAAAACTTTGGAATCAGGAAAACAGGTGAACGTCATCTTCACAGACATTTCACAGGCCTCTGATAGTGTGTGCCATAAGTTGCTACTAAAAAAACTCTCAGATATGGGCTTTAACACACATTTCCTAAAATTTATAGAATCGTTCTCAACGGAAAGATTTCAAAGAGCTCTCCAGCCGGATTTGGACAGGTCGGTTTCTTATGCAACCCAAATCCCCTCAAAAGTGCACACATGATTTTTCACAAGATCGTAAATCCTATACTGCCCACGTACACCATCAACAACGCCAATTTGGAAACAGTCGACACCTTCAGAAACCTAGGAGTCGCATTTAAAAAAGACTTGTCTTTCAGCAAACACATAGTGATCAGAAGTTCATGATTTCTAGGTTTCATCAAACGAAACACCAGAAACATATACAGTGTGCGCCATAAAGTTGGATACACATGGGAAAATTCTTAATTATTCCTTTTTCCAAAAAACTTTTTATGGGGATCGTTAGGGCATGTTCGAAAACCAAAAAATTGATTATGACACATGTCAGGTTATTTTTCTGATGACCAAGAAATGTGCAAAAAGGGACATGGGTACAGTTATAGCGACACGATTGGACGGTTTTTTCTAATTTATGACCTTCAAGTGTGTATTTCGCAAAACAATCGATTCGTTTGATATCAAACTTATGTAGTTTAGTCGAATAAAGCTATTTTTGAAATAAAATTAATATTTTCGATTTTCCATTTAATGGTATGGGTAAATTAAGTAGTTTCATTTATTTTTTCTCTGATTTGCTTCAAAATCAGCATGTGGAGTTCTTTTTGGATTCTGAAAAACTTTTTCTTACAAGATTTTTTGATATCTTGCCAAATTTACCCGTTTTTCGACATCAATATCAACTTTTTTCAAAATTGCCGCTAAACCGATAATCGCATGGCATGTGTAATAATCGATTTTTGGATATCGAACATGCCCTAACGATCCCCAGAAAAAGTTTTTTTGAAAAAAGGAATACTTAACACGTTACTTAACTGCCAAGCCGATTTTCAAAAAAATTTCCTCCCAGGCCATTTGAATTTTTGGATAGAAAATGGCATTTGAAGAATACCAGTACTTGAAATAGAGTGATATCATTCTCCATGGGGCCGTAATCTTGATTTTAGGGCGTAGGTCACCGGTGACCTACGCGGCGTGGCAGGCAACAAAATCCCTTTGATATGAACCTAAATGGTATGCAACACACAATACAGAAAAAACATGATATTCCTGCACATGAAGAGTCGTCGTAGGTCACCACACCGCCTTGAAATCCCATTTAACGTTGGGTTTCGACAAAGTTATTGACCAAATTTGCTGTAGGTCACCGGTGACTTACGCGGCGCCCCAGGCACGACTACCCGTAGGTCACCGGTGACCTACACGGCGGTTAACGTGTTAAGAATTTTCCCATATGTACCCAACTTTATGGCGCACACTGTATGATACGAAAACTATTATCTATCTATATTACAGTCTCATTCAATCCACACTTGAATACTGCAGTCCAACTTGGACTTCAAGTTACGTGTGCCACATTAGAAGGATAGAAGGAGTGCAAAATAAATTTGCCAAACAGTTGCTCTACAAACTGAGATATTCTTACGAGAACCTTGAGCCTGAGACTCGTCTACAGCTCTGCGGGATACCCAGCCTTGAGAATTGACGCAAAAATGCCAATCTCATTGTTCTCTACAAAATCCCTGCAAATTATCAACTCGCCCGAACTTCTGACAGAAATTGGATTACTGGTTCCTGGAGGAAGAACCCATCAGAGGCAGCTCTTTTTTCCAACCTGCGCATAGAACTAACTATGGCCTCAATTACATCATGGAGCGTTTAGTTACTAATCACAATCAGGACTTTTCCCATATAGATCTTTTCAATACCGCTCTGAATGTAATAAAAAGAGAAACAGTATATAATTACAAAGACTGTTTGTTTATATTTTTAATAAGTTGTAAATTTGTATATCATTATTAAGGTTTATTTCTTCAGTGTACCATTTAGAAATTTGTTCTGTAGAGTGCACTTAAAGATAAATAAATAAATCAAAATTCAAGGGGATTTTGAAATCTTGTGAATTGGAAACAGCAATCTTGTGATCCACCTTCCAAACGATTTTTAGGGGAGGTGCAGATGACTTTAGTAAAGTTTTTTCCAGCCAAGCCCCCTATAACAATCTTAAGCAGTAATTTAAATGCCTTCAACTACTCAGTATCGATCTATCTTTAGAGAATTTATAGGTAGTATGAGAAAGTGAACATAATCAAGAGTTCATCTGTTAAAAAATTATCATCAGCGAAGAGAGAAATTATCAATGCTAACTTTTAACCTAAACAACCATTTTCTAAACCCAAAATTGAATTTGATGCTATTTTTAAAAATAGGGAAATTTCAAATAACATCCACAAGTTCCAAAGAACAGTCACAGTATTGTGCAGAGCAAAATTCCAATTAAAATCACAAATGAAGAAAATTAAATTTATGTTAATAGGATTAGTTTCTTACTGGGCCCATATAAGATCGATATCCAATTCTTCTTCATTAGAAGGAAACGAAGAAACTTGCAACGGTATAGACTCGCACGGTGCCCCGGTCAGGGTCGCCAAACCTTCCAAAGACCTTCCCGATACCAAAGCTTCATAGCAGCCATGTATTTTAGCAACAGCCTTTTCGATTAGAGGCACCCAAAGTTGTTTTCTTTTGGCCTAAAATAATCAAATGAATAATCAATTTTTTAAAAATTTAATTGTTACCTGTGAATATAGCAAATGGTATTTTTTATCACAAGGGAAAAAATCGTCGACCAAAACAGTAACCCAAACGCCATCTTTGCATAGTCTTACTTGATAAGCACCTTGAGGGCAGTGAATGCGCGTAATGAGAATGGCTCTTAGGAGTTCTTCTCGTTCCGATAATACGGCTAAGGCACTCAGTAACCAGCAGTTACCTAACACACCTAAAAGAGAAATAAATAAACAAATATAAATATAGCAATTGATCAATACCTTGAGATATATCCGATGGTTGAGGCATCCGAAAAACGGCCCAAGGCAGGTCGTTTTCTTTTTCCTCTACGACTATGTCTTTTAGTCTGCGCCATTTTATCGTAAAAGCGTCTTTGTTCTCGTCGGGATTGTAATAGAGGCTAGTGGGCATTGGTGGAAAATCGTCGTCAACGTAACTTTGTTTTTTTAGTTTGCAATATCTACAGAAAAATCACATTTTTCAATCTCCAAACTGGTGTATTCGATAACCACTTCTCATTCTCAATAATTTTAAAAAAAGGTGTTAAAATCTGGTACAATTTTCAAACTCTTCTTACCTTACAATGTAATTCCAATGTTTATTGCTAAGTTCCTCCTGAGTGAGACGCGGAGGATCTTCGGGCGGTCCGGAATTGAGATTAACCCTCAATTTCTGACACATATCACAGATAAATTGAGATTTTGCGTTTTCAAATGTGCATATGGTGCACGTCCACATTTGAACTTGTTTTGATGTGTTTGGAATATGGGCTGTAACAAAAATAATTTATATACATTTTCAATTTGCTGAAAAGTCTTACTTAAATCCTCTTCAGTTGTCACATTGAATTTATCTTTCAGCTGAGGCATTTTTTTTTCGCGCCCGTTTCTCAGTTTTCTCAAATTGTGCAACGGCGACGGACTGCGACTCGATTGTCTGACGTCCAAGCCCTTTTCTGTCTTGCATACTTTACATACAGATGACGACAGGGAATTTTTCAGGGTGCACTTGCTGCAATTCCAAAACTCGCCCTTTTTCAAAGTCATGTCTTGATTTATTGTTAGGGATTTCAGTTTGGAGCCGCAACAGGCGTCACAGATCAGAGAACCGCCTTGGTTTACTAGGGTACATTTTTTGCATGTCCATTTTTGGTCTTCAGAGGAATCTATGCCTGGAATTATATTATTTGAAGGCTCAGGAAATTTGGAGGTATTAACTTACCTGGTAGCAATTGAAAATCATCTTCTAATCCTTGATCCAACGTAGCTATTGGGACTTGGCCTTCGTTGGAATGAACCCAACTTGGTGACCTGAAAAATGAGGTTCTCAGTTTTCATTTATTTTTCCATTTTTCCATACACATAATATTATGAATAATCCAAACGAAAAATCTATCGATTTTGCCAGCTACTTCTATCCCTATGGTATTCTGGTGAAAATAATTAATGCGATAGCATCTAAATTAACTCATCCAGGATAAATATTTAATATGCTTATGTGATATTGATTTTATATTTCACAGTGTTTTCTATAAATAATGTGCTGTTACTATTCAAGAATAGGGAAATGTATACTTAAACATAAAATGTCATAATATAAATTTTAAATACACACAACGAGATTTACTGTGCATATAATATTTCTTTTATTCAACATTTGAGAAATATAATAAATAATGACACACTGATTGTAAAATCATTATCTCAATTGTATAGGATTAGAGAAAAAACAAGATAATTCTTGAGTGTGTACAGAGTGTTTAAAATTTGAACCACATCATTGGGATCTCAGAAACGGGGAGAGATACAGGGTTGGTTAAATTAAGGCAAAGTTACGTAATCAAAATGTCATTTTGATATTTAGGATATTTCCTTAGAGCAGGTAAAGCGCTGTCCTACGGACATAAGGAGTAGGAACGCGCCATTCTGCTATGAAACGAAAAGTGAAGCCAAGTTTTCAGCAGGTGTTTGGCACCAAAATACAGGTAAAGCATTGAAATGCGTATACCGCCATTTTTTTGGTGCCAAAATACCTGGAAAAAAACGGCTTCATTTTCCAATTCCATGTTACTACTCCTCTTTACCTTTACCTGCTCTAAGGATATTTCAAATATTTCCGGAGATATTCGGGAAAAGCCGAATTGTTTTTATGTTTAAAAAAGTGTAATTTCTTGTGACACAAAAGAAGATGGTATCCAGCTTCTCTACACAACTACTGATGGAACTGATTCTAGATCATAATTTTCATCTTTCATAAGAATTATTGATAGACATTTAAGACAATTTATAATTCATATTTGCCAGAGTGACAGAGTAAATTATACTTACAGTCCACTAGAAGATTGACTGGGCCTATCAGCTGTCATAGTTATTGTCGAAGGTTGATTGAGAGAGGGCGGCGTTCTCAAACTCTTACAAATATCACATTTATTAGCATTTATATCGTTATAGGCGAACGAACATTGCCTACAAGTCCATCTCCTTTCGTTGGCCAACCACGAACTGGTTAAAGGATTGTTGTGTTGCAACATATTCATACTAAAAAGGGCGATACTTAACAATTGAATTGTTAAAATCATTGACTTACATTCTATCGTGCTCGCTCATATCGAAATCTCCAGCCGATCTACGTTGTTCACTTATAATGCTTTGATTTTCATAGAAGTGTAGCTTTTCTCTGTCTGGCTCGCTCATTCCAATGTATGTATATAAAGTACTATTCATGCTTTCTTTATGAATATCACTGGTGCTTCGATTGAGATTTCTTCCTGTAATAGATAAGAATTCTCACATGATAGGTAAAGTAAAGAAAAAAACTTCTTACCTCTAGAAGATATACTAGGTTGCCTGTTCAATTCGCCAAACAAATGTGAGTATTGCAACTGAGTGGATTGAATGTCGGTCATTGAATTGCTGGATTTCGGAAAGTTTAATTGTAACAAGTCGCTGTCCAGGCTCCTGCGATTGTGATTGGGCATGAGATTAGGCGAATGGGGCAATTCAGAAAATGATCTTCGATAGGGCGGCGGTTTTTGAGTGGGATTACGCAGAGCTTCGTTATCTGCCCAATTATCGACCTAAAAGAATTTTTTTCCCGATGAGAAAGCTGTGACAAAATATCTTAGGGAGTTCATTTGTACTGGTTTTATTGCTTCAAGCAGATCTTGGCAGCAGGTGAGAGCTTAAATGGCAAGATCTTCCTGATTTTTCAAGCAGGTAGAGCAAGTACAAGTGAACACCCCTTATATAAAAAAAACTGCATAAAAAAATCATAATTAGAGAAAATATCGTGCTGCTTCCTACTACATAAATGCAACGTGCACACTAACAAATATTTGAAAAGGTCATCCGATTTAATTGCCCATTAACTCAATAATGACCCTCCTAGACCCACAGTCCCTATTTAATATTTCAATTGACACAAAGAGTGTTAGATCATGGGTACTTTTAGTTACAGCTTGTTTGCTTGTAAATAAATGGAACTTTTTACCTGTGATTTCTACAAAAAGTTAACTACAAAAGATATTTGAAACTTTGAGCATAAATAGGTCTAATTTTTTTATATGAAAGAATAGGAACTTTAAAATGATAACTAAACAATATTTACGAGATTTCAGTTTTAGTTCTGATTTTGACTGGATTTTCAAGATTTCTACTATTAATAATTGAATTTTTCTATTTTTGACATTTACTGTCTGCTTTGATTGATAGAAGATGAAGCGTTCCATAACTTTTTACGATCCGTTTTGAACAACCCATCACTTATATTCTTTCTTGAATTATAACGAATAAAGGCTTAAATTATCGGCTATGAGATACTAAAATTGGAATGCTAAGTTATAAAGAGTATTCAGTTGGATTCTTTAATATAACTTGAGTAGTGGGTATCACTCCCACTGAATTCCTTTAATGAAGTAAAGGATGTAATTTGAAGATGACTAGAGGCTGATTTTATCTCTGATATTCGCTCTGTTTTGCAAAATACAAGTTTTCATTTATATGGTTGCTAAAAAGGCTCTTCAAACAATTATGTCGAGCTAAATTCAACTAAGCACACACTAATTCTTACATGCACAAAAAAAAACAAACATTAAGCTAGTGCAACACTACAACCTTATTACCTTAATAATCACACTAGGAGTAACATTACTATTAAAATCAGGTGCATAGGTGGCTTCGCAGGCCTCGCACACATTAATATCAGCACTATTCAGCAAAGTACATCTCTTGCAAGTCCAGGTAGTGCCTTTTTTGACTGCCCACATAATATTAGCGCTACTAGTAGCTGAATTGCTGTCTCCATTAATCCCACTAGCTGTTGTCCTTACATTATTGTACTGAACATTTTCGGGATCCGTCTTCTGATCTACCGAACAACTGACGCTTCTGATAGTAGACAAACAAAGCAAGTCTGGGGGCCTCTGACATTTGCAACGTTCGTAATTTAAAATTTCGTAGTTTTTATAATTGGGTTGTCCTAGAGCGCAGACTTTGCAGGGCGACTCGGTTAAGTTCATTGTTTCTAAGTTTTCATTGCAAAGAAGGCATAATGATACAGTGGATTGGTTGGTGAATGATACTTGGCACTTGGTGCACAATGCTGTATGGTAGCTGAGGTTCGGTAAACTGATCGATTTATGTAAAATTGATTGGGATACACTTTTTGCTTTTCGGTTGTTTCTTTGTCTTATAAGCAATAGTGTGTTAATTAATGTGTTTCTTACTAGAGCTGAACAATCTTTTTTGTCAGTGCACCTAAAATTATCAAAGAATTGGATATAAAAGAAGTTTGGTTTATGTAACTGCAAAAATTACAATAATTAGATCATGTGATGACACCCCTTTTACTATATAGATTAATAGAAAATATTCCATCTGCAACTGATGTCACATTATTCTACCGTTAAAAGTAATTGCAGAGGATTTTACCATGGATAACATAGCTAATTTTTGAAAATTTGAGCTACTACAAATTTGTTTTGAGATATCAGGAAAATAAACCGAGATACACACAATAATACCAACATAAATAAGATAATAAGATAATCGTAAATCTATCTTGAGAACTTGAAAAAAGGCAAAACTTTTGGCCAAAGAGATGTCGCAAAATGATACAAGAGTATTCAATTCAATATTGTGATTCGTGTGAAAAAATATGACAAGATTTTTCTGTATTATGAAAGATTTAGAAAATACTAATCGATTTGATGTAATTTCAAGGATTTTGAGAACCTTGCAAGTGTTTTTTGCTGTGATTGTTTTGATTTTGTTGATATATGTATTATAATCTGTTTTTAGTTTATCTTCACTAACTCCTTCATTTCTGTGGATAATAAATTATTTGTCTTTTGTCTTGGACTTGGTCTTGGATTTATTTTATTTTTGATATCTTTTTTTTTCCCCGAGGTTTTTTCACTAGTTTGGGTTGGAGGGGCTTGTTGATGTTGTTCATCTTGACTTTGAGAAAGCGTTCGATAGGGTTCCAACCCAAAGACTTTTATACAAGCTTGACCACCTAAGTGTAAGGGGTAGCTTACTGCGATGGATCTCCAGTTACTTGCAAGGCAGAACGTTCACAGTGAGAGCAAATCGGGTGTTACCTGAGCAGCACTAAACATTGAGTGGGGTGCCCCAGGGCTCTGTCTAGGGCCTTTTGCTCTTATTTACATCAGTGACATAGGAAGTGGCTTTCAGTCTGGTATCTCGTACTTTGCTGACGATACAAAGCTTTACTGCAATCCAACCCATAGCACTTAGAAACTGAAAGAAGATCTCCACAGCTTGTTCCATTGGACCAACGAATGGATGCTAAGCTTCAACGAGAGAGAGTGCAATGTTTTCCACATCGGTAGAAATAATCCAAAAATTGAGTATACAATTGGAACATGCTTAGTCGCAGAATTCAACCAACAAAGGGACCTGGGAGTGATTGTTAGCTCTGACTTAAAATGAGAGCCTCACATTGTATGCATGACTAAAAAAGCACACCCTAGGGCACTTAATGAATAGAGCTTTTAGTGTCCACTCTGTGGAAATGATAAAAAGCCTTCATAAATAAAACCTTTGTGCGTCCTAAGCTAGAATATGCCCATGCTGTGTGGAGCCCCTATTATATAAAAGACATAGACATTAGCGAACGAGTCCAAAGGAGAATCACCAAAATACCTTCCGGGGCCCAATTCTTTCCTATTTAATTTACATTGTTGTCAGTCAAATTCGAATCAAATTTCGTATGCGATATTTTTCAAGAATTGGGCCCCAGAAGTGAGCCACTTTCCATACCGTGAAAGTATTGAAATATTCGGACTAAGTACATTAGGAGAAAGGCGAAAAAGAGGTGATCTCATTGAAACCTTCAACAAAGTACATAATAACAGGTTATTTCAGCCCAAAAATCAATCTGGCACTCTTCCAAATTTCCCATACACAAGAACTACGCTACCACTCAAAGAAACTCAACAAAGAAAGATCCGCTCTGCTTTTGAGAAAGAACTTTTTGAGCAATAGAGTTGTATACAGATGGAACAGCCTTCAGGAATCTACTGTGAATGTACCAACTGTCCGCACCTTCAAGAACGCGCTGGATAAAAAAAATGGACAACATAAGAAATCAATTTACCCACTACATGTAACCTTAATCCCTAATTAAAAATCGCCACAGTGTGATAATTCCCACTGAACTCACACGTACAGAAAAAAAACATTATATAATTGTAATAGACTTATCCGAGAGCTTATCGGTTTAGACCGCTTTATATTGCTCACAATTATAATAATAATTTATACGATAATAAGTACTATTATTGTTTATATAACATAACAATTACAGGGCTTCGTTTTCGAGATAATCGGCCGATTAATCGGCTCTGAACGTTTTCCAAGATCTGAGACAAAGTTTCAACTTTGAGACGCAACATCTCGAAAACTATGAGTGAGTGATGAGCTTCTCTGATGATAGGGTGATGGTGGGGCCCGATGGTATTCCTGAGTTACTTTTAAAGAAATGTGTCTAGTACCAATTTTCAAGAGTGGTGATAAAAAAAAACATAAATAAAGTATAGAAGTATTTGTACCCAATCTGCCATTCCAAAACTGTGTGGCAAACTAATATCTGAACAATTGACATGGGCCTGCCGGGGACTGGTGGATGATGGACAACCTCCAACTTATTTTCATATCAATCATTACTGCTGAAGGCTTTGGAAGATAAAAATAAAGTTGATGCTATCAATATAGATTTTTCCAAAGCCTTTGCCAGTGTTGAACATGATTTGCTTTTTGAGAAATTGCACAATTTGATGTCCATTCAAGCATAATTCAGTGGTTTCCTAGTTCTTTTGCTGGTAGAGTTCAAATAGTTAGCAGTTTTTTGTCTGAAAATATTTATTTATTTATTTATTTGCTGTTCGCGTGATCAATCACAATTATGAGGGCATAAGAAAGAACCTTGAACTTGACTCGGAGTTTTGTAGATTAAAGAATAAATTGCATTTTGTTTATGATCTTCCTAATTATCACATAGATCGTCCTCACTTACTAGAGCATATCAAGGTTTCTTCAAAGAACTTAAGGTGTCTGCCATGGTGTCTGCATACTCTAAGAAAGTTCACCGACTGTCAGGCTTTCATACAGAGTACTTCAATAGGTACAGAACCATATATAGACAGGTTATTATTCAGGCGAAAAAAAACCACTATAGAAAGCGAATCAACAAGGCAGAAAACAAAAGCAAAAGAAAACAAACTCAAAGTCAAATTTAGAGGAAAAAAAGAAAAATCCAAAAGTTTTGTTGATGTTGAGCCTGACAAACTTAATACTTTCTACACAGCAATTGCAGGAAAGCTGTCAGATTATCTTAATTCTAACACTCATCCTTTAGATTATCTACAGCCATTATCTTACACAGAAAACTTCAGTTTTGAAACAACAAACAAACCTAAAATCAGGGAAGTGATAGTATTTCTGCAAAAATCATGAAAAACTTGCCAGACAGTGCTCTAAAGGCACTAGCCTCTTGTATAAATTTGTCTCTGGGCGCTGGAATATTTCATCCTTGTCTGAAATCAGCAGTGGTAATTCCAATCTTTAAAGGGGGGGGGGGGGGGGGGACACAGTTCAGATCCATCGAATTATCGACCTATTTCGCTATTGAGTACTCTCTCGAAGATCATGGAGAAAATTGTTGAAAAGCAACTAGTGGATTTTTTGAAGAGGCATGGTGTTCTTGATCGGAATCAGTTTGGTTTTCAAAGTTCTAGACGGGCAAATGATGCCATCTTCTCATTTTTGGAAAAGCTATACTTCAGCTTGAATGATCGAGAGGTGGCTGCGGCGGTGTTTTGTGATTTCTCGAAAGCTTTCGATTGCGTAAATCATGAAATATTGCTGCAGAAACTTAGTCATTATGGCATCCGTAGAACAGCTTCGGACTGGTTCAGGTCAATGCTCTCAGGTAGATGCCAGTTCGTCCGAGTGAATGGGGTTGATTCTGATGCGGCTGAGATTATTCATAGTGTGCCGCAGGGGTCTGTGTTGGGACCCATTCTTTTCCTACTCTACGTCAACGACCTACAATCCCTTGCAATTTCGGGGGAATTCACGGCTTTTGCAGATGATGCTACCAGTCTGTGGACTTCGAAGACTCTAGACAATATTCAGAAAATCATCGAAAACGATCTCTCCGAAATAAAGACGTGGTGTGGTGTGACACAAATAAATTGTATTTTAACATACAAAAGACAAGCATACTCACTTTCAGGTGCTCTTTGACTGGCATCAGACTAGAAAGCGAAATCCTGCCAAATAGAACAACCGTGAATTTTCTTGGGTTGCACATTGACACAAAACGGATAAGAAACAGAACACATACATAAACAAGATCACTTCTCCTGAAATTTTAAACGATAATGGCGTACCACAGGGAAGTAAATTGGGGCCAATACTGTTTCTCATATATATTAATGATATTGTTAAGTGTATAACAAGCTGCCAGATCCATCTATTTGCAGATGACACTTTAATTTACTTCTGTTCTAGAGATTTGAAATTGGTGACTGATGCTATTAATGGAGACTTGGAGAATGTATTATCGTGGTGTAATGGAAATTTACTAAAATTGAACGCATCAAAAACAAAGTTTATGCTTATTGCTAATAATAAGCAATATAATATGGCAACTCCATTTAAAATTGCCATTGGAAGTGAAGATATTGAGATGGTTGAAGAGATCAAGTATTTGGGTGTTATAATTGACAGAAGGCTTCAATTTATGGAACACATTAATTATATTACTAACAAAATAGCAAAAAACTCGGGTGTCCTGACTAGAGTAGCACCTTTTCTATCAAAGTGGACTCGCATCATGGTGTATAATACCATAATTCTACCACATCTTACATACGCATCATCGGTGCTGTACATGATGAACAAAAACGGAAAAGATAGGCTGCAAAAGTTACAAAACAAAGCGATGCGAATAATACTTCATTGTCCCAAAGACACAGCGATTAGATCTGTGCTACTGTCTCTAAACTGGTTATCCATCGAGAATTTTTTAAATTATCAAGCCATGGCATTCATTTATAGAATAAAGTGTTCTGTAACGCCAATGTACTTGTCATCAAAACTGCTGTAAAACCGTAACGTTCACGATCACAATACAAGATCTCTGAATGATTTGCATGTAGCAACCAAAAATAAAAAGAGCACTGAAAAGGCATTATTCCATAATGGCCTAATTAATTATAACAAACTAC